TATCTTGTGTCTTCAGCAGTACAAAGGATAGGCAAATAAAATTATCTCCTTCTGAATGAGGCATGCCAAACTCCTTCCTATACAGGACTACACTGCTATGTTGCCATATCTTCAGTGGTAATATGCAGGGGTCTCCACTTTCTCTGCCCGAGAGGAAAAAGGAGCAGGCAGTGCAGTTGACAGAAATCATTCTCCCTCTAACCTTAATCAGAAAACTCTTTTATCACAGAACATTCAAGATATATATACTTACCTGTGGGCTTTATTTCATGTGTTCCTACCTAAATATATGACCTCTAATGAAGCAGCAGCCATATATCATATTATAGGCAGGTGACTGAGTTAATCATGCAGCTTTGAGCCATTCTCCCTCTACCCATTAATCCATCTCCTTTGAGACTTGTTCTAACAGTCCAAACCAGGAATAGGTACAGCCAGAAGAAAGAGTTACAACTTTGAAACTTGGATGAGATTTTTAACTTGAAAAGAGCCAGGAATGTACATGTGTGAACTCCTGCCCCTTTCCCAACAAACACTAATGAACAGCTTCCAGCTATTGGCATTAAAAATAATCAGTCTGTCAAGGAAATATTTATTTCCCCAAATAGGGAAGGCTTCTCTCAAGCTCTCTTTCTGATTTGTATGTGTTTGATGGTAGTACTTAGTCTCACATTAGTGACACATTTATGGGCTGCTGTCTTGAGGGCTGGAAACAAAAATTTCATGTCTTTCCAAAAAGAGAAAATTCCCTTTCCACTGTGACACATCATATTACATTCTGGCCCTGGAAGGTTCCTATGTACCTGACATCAGTTGTAACATTTTAGGTTACAGAAAAACAACTTCAAATTTTTCTCTTCTAAGTGTGATGGCTGTACTTGTGGTATGCCAGCAACTGTATTCACAGAAAGAAGTATGTGGAAAGACTCATAACATGGTGAAAATTCATCAGTGTGCAAGGCAAATGACCACATAGAATGGACACTGTCAGAAAACTGATCAGACTGTGGAAGGTAGAGACCTCACTGGGGCTACCGATACAGGTTCCTAGCTCTGCCACTAACCTAAGGTACATACTTGGGCACATGTCTTCACCTTGCTGGGATTCCAGTACTCATCTGTAAAGTGAAGACAACAACATGTAACTTTATGAAGTGCTTCAGATGACAAATGCAATGTAACTCCTTAGGGTCAGCTTACTGGACATGGTAGGGGGTGAATAGCATGGATCCTTCATTGTCTCCTTGGCTAGAAACAGCATGTCTATTTGTTAAACTCTTTCTGTAGCCCCACTTGTACATCTCTACAGCAGCTAGTTAAAGCACACTTTCCTTGTAAGAAAGATGTGGAAGAATTAACCTTCCATCTCTACCAAGTATGCATAGCACTATTCAAAACAAATCGCTACTTGCAGCAGCAATGGAAAAATAAAGGTGTTTTAACATTTGCAGTTATAGGAAATAAAATATTTACTTTAGCAGTTGACAACATGCAAGTATGCAGAACAAGCAAAATACCACCTACCCAGACTACTCACTCAAGGTTTGTGTCATGATCCTTTATGATAGGGAAGAAAGAGGAAGATTCTCTCAGACAACTGTTAAATTTAATCTTCATATGTATGGTCCAGGAACTTAAAACTTTGCAGTAGTTAAAGGGGAATTTTAGTGACCTACTGTTCTCCCATCAGACTGGAGTACTCAGGAGTAAGTGAATGATAGGACATTGATGCAATTACTCTTCTAGTATGCACATACATTTTTATTTGCTTGAGAACAGGAGTATGTGCTGGGAAGAATTATGGCACTATACAACTTTCAGTGATTGGAAGGAGACTTCCCTTATTTTAAAATAAACTCCTAAACTATCCAGTTGTTTAATCATAACAAATTTAGAATGTCTTTCTTGACTTTAACGTCTGAACACTTGGCTCAGGATATGTGGTTCGTTACTTCCTCATTCTTTAACACAAAGACAAACTGACAGCCTGCTTGGGATTTCTTGGGACTCCTTTAAAGATACTCATAAGAAACCACACTAGATCATGTCAGCATTTCTCTAAAACTCAGATCATAGCTCCTGTCAGTGCTTGGCTTTCCAACAGCGGGCATAAAAAGCTATGATCAAATGCCTAAACTGTTGTTCTATTTACACACTGTGATGAGAAAAAAGCCCAAGCCCATAGTCTAGATTCTTGTGTACCCTGAAAACCCATTTACAAGCCTTTAATTTACTTCACTGGGTCTGCAATTTCAGCCATTTTGTGACGGGATGGAAACATCCTTTTCCCTAAGCATGGCCAACATTTTAGCTCTTTCAGTGCTCTCACAGCTCTGGCTCCACTGAAATTATAATGTTAGTCTGAATTCCCATCGCTGTGACAGTAAGAAGATCCCGTCTGCCAGTGTACAGACAGACTCAACAGACTGAAATCTGAATGAAAAATGGGGTAAGGATAGAAGTCAACAGTGCCTGAATTAATGTTGCTGCATACCAGTCCTTTGGTAATGCTCAAGGCATAGGAGGAGAGATACTTAGTGAGGTGGGAGAATAATGAAAATGTAAGAGTGAGGGCATACCAAGGGGCATTTTCATGTGTTTTTTTTTCCTAGATAAAGTTTTACATGGTTTGTCCTAAGTACAACATGTCTTGCTGAAAGCTCTATCTTCTTCCTCTAACCTCATGATAACTTTGGCAAAAGAAAAATGTCATACATGTGAAGTGTCAAAGACAAGTATCTAAGTGATTGGAAATGATCTGTTTAAATTAGAGGAAGAGCTGCAATTTGGAGAAGGAAAGGAGCCATACCCTCAGGAACACAGTGATTTGTGCCCTTTTAAAATCCTAGAAAACCAAGAGGTGCAGATGAGCCAAGAGCTACTTTGGATTTAAAAAAAAAAGAAGGCAATAAGGTATGGAAGGGAATAAATGGGTCCTCACCCAGAAAATGCATGCTGTTCCCTCATGGGTTTTGTTAGCAGTATTCTTGGAGCAGAATCTCCTCCTACATAACTGTTTCCATAATCAGGTTTCCACCTGAATGGTGTCCCTTTGCCAATGGATGCCAGTGAAATTAATGGCAGTAGCACTCTGCGATACTAATTCTGTGATGAGGGTAAAATATATTCCATGTGCATTTCCAGTCCATATCCCAAATACAGAAAGGATGCCAGGATGCAGATTGTGTAGGTTGAATTGCCTGAGTCAGAAGATGTGGCAACAGTGAGTTTTCATCTCTAAGACAGGGCAGTTCAGCAAAAAGATATTGAATTTTGCAACTTTGTTGAGGGATTCTTACTTCAAGTTAAGTTGAGAATATTTCATTGATAACTGCAGGTACACTAATATGACTCAGAAATGTGTCAGGAGTTCTGTCTAGAAACCACAAAAGTAGGCTAAGAAAGAGAGAATTGGACTTTTTTCTCTTTTTTAAGTACAAGAAAATTCCAAAGCTTTCAGTATGGCAGGCAACTTACATCAATTGAAAACAAAAGAATATTGCTAAAATTCTTAGACTGCAAGTGGATACATCAGCTGAAGCCACTTTTAAATTACATGTGTAATTTCTGATAAAACATGGCCTAAAAACCTCAGATGCTAAGAGAAATAAAAGAACAGTACATGGCTCTTTATCCCTTTTTATAAGAGTTCAATTTTCTTGAAAATCTTCCTGCTAAACACCTTCCCTTTTCTCTCAAGTAAATCACAAATAATGACAGGAATTGATTACAATTAAATATTTCTACTTTGGTTGACCAAAATAAATAGTTAATAAGCAGAGCTCCTCACAGTTACAAATGCCATCAGCCAGCTCTCACAACCCTGCTCTTGCAAGGCAAGAGGTGACACTGAGCTTACAAGGCAAAAAAGTGTTTACCTGGTGAGTTGAAGAGAAAAGCTTTATGTAAGAAGACCTCTATGAGAGCACTGATTGAGAAGTGTGCTTGCTGCATGCTGCCTTTGCTTAGATGCTAGTTGGATTACAGTTGCAGTCATTCATAAATTGGGCTGTTTTTCAAACTGTTGAGGTATACCAGATGACTATTCCTTGCACTGTTTGCTCTGCATTCAGGCAGCAAGCAGATGCGCAAAAATGAATACAAACAAGCTATTACCAAAATACAGGGGCTGAGAAGGCAGGCAGAAGCAAGCCAGCAGGCCAAGAGAGGAAAAATTCTACTCCTAGGAGTAAGGGAAGATGGAACTTCCTGAACACTCAACTTCCTTAGGGGCAAGGTCTAGCCACCAGAACTTGGAAACTGGTGTTTGCTTCTACTGTGATGATGGAAACAGTTTTACTCTTGGTAAAGAAAGAGAACTGGACCTCTAGGGAAGTCTGTTTCACCCTGACAGGAACAACCTTGCAGAGCCTCAAACACAAGCACACCTACAGGTCCCAGTGCCTTGGTATGCCCTCACTCTGACATTCTCGTTATTCTCCCACCTCACTAAGTATCTCTCCTTCTATACCCTGAGGATTACCAAAGGACTGGTATGCAGCAACATTAATTCAGGCACTGTTGACTTCTATTCCTACCCCCTTTTTCATTCAGATTTCAGTCTGTTGAATCTGTCTGTACACTGGCGGACAGGATCTTCTTACTCTCACAGCGATGGAAATCCAGACTAACATAATTTCAGTGGAGCCAGAGCTGTGAGAGCACTGAGTCAATACACCATACAGGACCGACAGTCCCTGTTTCAGAAAGCAGCCTTTCACCACCTTTTAAACGTTACTGAGCTTTGCAGAAGCTAAAGTCCTAAGACATAAATCATCAAACAATTCAACTTCCTGTTCAAGCATTACCATTACAGTGGTTTCACCTGGCAGTGTATCATGTGCTGCTGAGGGAGGAGAGAAGTTGTGTGAGCAACCGAGGGTGCAGCCTGGCCCCACAGGGAAAGCAGACTGGTGTCGTGGGGCCCTGGGAGATGTGCCAGTGCCTGCAGGGGGTGGGGACAAGGCGTCAGGCCCACCATTAGCACCATGCTCCTGGGGATCCTCGTGGTGCTCTGCTTCATCCCCACTGCTGATGTAACAGGTAACAAAAAACCCCCACATTTCAATCCTTTCCACTATTTTTCCTCACTTTGATCATCAAGGGGTAAAAAATCTAGTATAGGTTTGAATTAATTTTGCACAAATTGTTCTGTGTCCAGATGAAAGGGGAGAGACATCATGTTGCTAAGACTGCACATGGATCAACTTGATGAAATAACCAAGTGGCCAATTTTTCTCCTGCCACAAATATCCTTCAGAGATAAGACCAAAAAGCTTTCTTTTAATTTGATTTATCTTTAGATCTAGTTGGAATGCATAGGTAGAGGGGGGGGTTTATCTCACCTTTCTCCTGGGCTTTAAAAGTCTTGCTGACAAGTGCCTTCTCTTGGGGAGCAGAGGGCTGAGCAGACCTGGTGCCAGTGCCTCTCTTGGGGCAGCCTCTCCACCACCCCCAAATCTCCTGTGGGAAGCTTCGGGTCCTACCATGGCCTGGCTTGGTGTGATGGGCTCCAGAGCTGACTCCTCCAGCATCCTCATAGGACTAACAAATAAAAGGGCCAGAAGCAGAGTTGCTTACGGAGCTCAAAGATGGGAGGACATATATTACAGAGTTTCTGATTTTTGCATTGTGTAGTGGTTTATTGATACTGCCTCAATACCTTGTTTCTTTCTGAACATCTTCAGAAAAAAAGTGTCTATTTGTGATTTTGAAATCCTGAGTCTTGTTGAATCTTTCTGACTCTTCAGTTGTTGTGGCTGAGGGTATTTATCTTGGTGTTGTCTTGCTGATGCAGTGTTCGTGGGTTCAGAGCTAAGATGTCTTTCCAATGGGTACATTAAAATGCAAAGCAAGGCAAGGCATGGTGGCTTTTGCTAGGATAATCTGGAGACAGACAATTTTTCAAACCGCTGGCTGTGAACTGTTGTCATTGGGTCTTCTCCAAATATCAGTGTTTTGTATTTTACAGGGAAGTTACAGATAGGGATAAAAATCTGGTTTCCAGTGCAAAACTTTTAACATACAGAACATCTTTTAAAAGTTGCTTTTTCGAGTATGAGAGATGCAATTGAATCTATTTTTCCTTATTTCTGCTTTATCTTTCCATATTTCCTCTGTGAAGGCATTGTAATTTGCATGACATCGTGATCTACATTTTTTAAAGATATCATAGTTTTTTTTTCTTCCTTGTCCTTTCACATGTTTACAATTCTGTGTTTGCAATATCCTTAGTATTTCCACAGCAGGCCCTTGGGTTGTCAGAGAAGACACTAATTCCAGGAGGGGATAAGTATCAGGAGTGGATTAATAGTTTTAAACACATTTCCATGAGGTGTGAACAGCTTTTAAGCAACTCTTTTGAATTGCAACAAAATAAAATATAGTGCTTCTCAGACACAAGGGTCATGCCATGGCTCTATAGACATATACATTTTCTTTGCGTGAAGAGCATGAGTTTCTCCAACAGCTTCACCGATACTGTTAAACCGCTTAAAGAGAAGTACATCAGGTCTCTTAGGGTTCTCAGGGTTTTCATCTTTATACAATCTCTTTTCTCCACCTCTTCTTTTCATTTTCATCAAGATGATTGATCCTTAGTGTATGGAGAACATTAAGGCAGGTCAAAACCCTGCAGGACTTCCTCAAGCCACAAAGTGTATTATAGGCCTCAGGTATTTTAGTTTGGGGGAAAACACCAGCATTTGTCCTGTTCTGCTGTTGTTAGACTGTACCAGTGATTGCTGCAGGTTGAGTTTGAAACTTAGAAAGGAACTTAAAATATCAATTTGGTCATTTCCCTTTCGCAGAAACACTAACATTTACAAAGTTTGTCCTCCTCCCCTTTTTGTTGGCTGAATAATTACCTCGCAGTGGTCTGTCACAGAGGCAGCTAGATCAGGTGTCTGTATATTGTGAAATAAGTAATATAAGCGAGTTCCTACTGCAGCATGCCACATTTGACCTCATCATTTTACTACCCACATAACTTAGAGTCTCTGGGTGTTAAAATCACCCTCTAACACACTGAGGTTACCAGAATGCAGAAGATGGATGAGGCAAGGTTAGCTAAGATTAGGATGACATCAACAAATTCTTGTTTAAAAGCAAAAAATCATGAACTGATGAGAAAACCCCTGTGCTCACACTGGGTTTGATTAAAGCAAGTGTCAGCTGGGCTTTGTGGAGGGCTATGCTGCCTGCAGAACTTGCACCACAGTAGGAAAGTTTAGCAGAAAACATGTCTGTATAGGCTAGAAGGGGCAGATCCCTCCAGCTGCACATCAGACACACAGCTGGGTGGTCTAAAACCAAACTAAAAGAGTTAAGACCCTTGTACCTAGGAAAGGAGAGTATATGTAATTGAACAACAGACCACTAGCAGTGAAAATGGAGTAGCTCTGTTTATAACATAGCTGCCTTTCTGTTTGTGGGTTAAACAAACTCCTTTCAGGTTTTCCCAAAACCCCCCAAGAAATTAAATGCGTCATTTCTTTACTGTGCTTATAGAAATCCCAACTTATCTCAGATTCCTTGCTCTGGAAAATAGCCCCTTGAGGTCAACTGGCATGAAAAAAAAAAGAAAGTAGAGTAGTCAATATTTTTAGCAGAACATTTCTTTCCAATAGCTGATGATGATTCATGGAATGTTCAGGAAAGAAAAAAAGACCCAACACCTCAAAATAGTTATTTTCCATACTTTGCTAACTCTATTTCACTTTCTTGGCAAATAAGAAAGAAAAAAACAAAACTTCAATGAAGTTTTGCTTACATCAGGGGAGATCAGAGAGTCAGTCTTTACAGACATTATATATAGATGGCATTTTCTTTCATGATGCAAAAACCCTTCACATGTGATTATAAGAAATGTCTAGCGTGACAAATAAGCTATAAAAACGCTTAACAAACATTTAGAGATCTTACACACCGTTGCATATAAATCCTAAGATCCTGATAAGGCTTGCAGCCTGTGCACAGACTTAAATGATTTTACATTTTTAAACTTCATGGCTCTTTGAAACTATAAACAATGATTTTTCATAACTGCCTTTTTCCTGGCTGCATAAGACCAAGCTATAGATAATATTACTACACAACATGACTGAACATAGCTCTGGAAATGACAATCATAACCCTATTTAGGAGAATGGAAACACATAATAAATGTTTCAGAGTGTCACCATTTTAACAAACGAAGTGACACTTATGAGGAAAACTGACTCTGTGATGGCAGAAGCAGCCTTAGCCCATGTTTGCTCAGAATGGGCCAGATCCTACTAAGCATGTAGTCAAATCCTATTCAGAACATAAGTGAAGTGAGGGATGTTTGGAGTTACTCTGTTTTCCCCACTGTTACTCTGTTTTCCAGTAGTAAAGCCGCTACGTGAAAATGGGTTTGGGAACTTAGCTTAAATCCTGTAGGAGCAGTCTTCATACAATGATGCACAGAAAAACCTTTACCCACTGCTCAGCCAGGCTATATCCCAGCATCAGCAGCATGGGGCTGGGTTATGATGCCCAGCCTGCAAGCCAAGGCAAACAAATCAAACTATAAACCCAAGAGGTGGAAATAGGTTGAAGGAACTTAATTTTTTAGGTGAGTGTATCAAAAGAGTCTGGTTGCCAGTTAGCACAACATCATGGCAGGGACATCAATAGTCCAAGCCTGTAGTTAAATAGTGAAACTCAAGGCACAAAGCCATATACCAAATGCCAGGAATGCAGACTAGCTGGTAACAGCAAAAGGTAGGGGCAAGTCACTGGGGTCTGCAAATGAGTCTAAATAACATCTGAAGGTAGTGCCTCAGTGATGAGATTTTCAGTGTTCTTTGGCTTTCCTTTGGCCATAGTGAAAGTCCAATCAGGCTGAGCGATAAATATTCTATAGTTTTCTGTAAGTATTTGAGTGAAAACAGGTGAGCATTTTTCTGAAGTGTAACACTTCTCCAAGTGTCTGTTCTGGAATGCCTATCTTGGTTGTCAACTCTGAGATAGAAAAGGTCTCTTCTGAAGCTGTATTCAGTCCCTGTGACAATCAGGGTAGTCATGGTTGGCAATGACTGCAGCGCAAATTGGAAGAATAACTGTCTCAAGTGAGATGTGTAGAATTCTGCTGTGCTAAAGGTAGAGCAATTCTACTACGACTTACAAATTGCCTCTTAGGCCAAAGATTAATTTTTCTGGCTAACAAAAATCTGAATTCAAACCTCACCCCTTCCTTGAATGCCTTATAAGCCTATGTAAGAGCTCTTGTCAGAAAATGCTGACCCGATGAAACTGAAATGTTTTGCTGAAATGTCTTCATTTCAATGAAAATTCACCACAGGCATCACCTTGGGTTAAAATTTGCCTTATGTGTTCTTACTTTGCCACTCAGTTCCAGGATTCCAAGATCCATGTCTCTTTCTGCTGGAAAGCCTGGAAATGCTCATCCTTCATCCAAAGTTTCACAGTGTTTGGGTTCCCTGCAAACATGGGATTTCAGAACTGTGATGAGCTCCACCCCTCACGCTAACGATGCTGAACAAAGAGACAGAAGGAGGATGGACTGCAATCTTTCTTTGCTAAAGATGAGGCAGTAGAGCCTTCCCTGTCTCACATCTTCCTGCTGTCATTAGAAGCAAGGGCTGGCAAACAAGACTTTAAATGAGAAGATGAACAACCTCAGCAGTTTCATGGGTTGTGCTGGTAACAGGAGAACCTGCTAGGTGTGGGTTGTTTTTACTGCCCACACCCTACCACTAGTCCTGGCCATCTCATGCATCTCTTTGTGTTTACTGTATTCCCTGGACCACATTCATCCCAAAGGAGTGTCCTACTCAAGAGATACTCCATTCTCTTGTGCAGGTGTGAACACACTAAATGTCGTAATTTTCCAGGCATTCTGGATCTAGCCTCCTTCCTTCTTTCAACTTTCCTTACTATCTGTTTTGAAGTCTTGCCACATGGATTAAGCAGAAAGAATATAGGTTCGTAGCACATTTTGAGGACAAGAGGTTACAATTGTCATTCTCACAACCACAGTGATTCTTGGGGATCTATAAAAGACTATCCAAACCTCACATGAGCTGAGCTTGCATGAAGACTTATGCAGTCATACACACACACAAAAGTTCTAGCAAACTCCTTTAAAAGCCAAAACTCCCTTCCTCTTATTAGGGGTCGTCATTTGAAAAGTAGGGCATCACTTGTACAGGTGATTTTTCTTGGGAGAAGTTGTCTTTCTGCATAGTCCTACCAGTGTTTCATTGTTTGGCAGATGGTAGCACAGAGGTCTACATGTTAGAAAACATTTCCTGTTTATGTATCAGTTCTGTCGATTCAAATTGAATTATACCTTCATGTGACATGTTTTTTTGCAGGACATTCAAGTACTAAGTGCCAATGCAGTGTCAAATTAGTCAGACCCTGAGTCCTTTGAGGGATTAAGAAATCTACTACAGCTGCTAGCTAGAGAAATTACTTATTTTACATTAAAATGATAGCAGCTCATGCTTTTAGTGTTCATCACCCGAGGTCCAAACCCTTGAAATGGTTCAGCAAATTCACCTGCAAACTCTTCAGGAGTCCTTGAATTAAAAAGTAAATGTATAAATAATATTCTCTTATCTGACTGCTAAACTAAGCATTCAATTCATAGTAATTTCACTCCATAATTTTCCCTGGGAAACTGCTTGCTAAGGGAAGGATAGACTTAGGTGGCCTTACATATACAGACAATACACACAGACGCAGACTAGCCTTCTGGGCCCTGATGTTAAATCTTAATCACATGGGCCACTTTCTGTGCTTGTGTTCTGACTCGGAAGAAAAATGCTCCTGCCCTCACAGTCTCCCCTAGTGACTGTGTAATTATTTATATAGAGGTGGATTGCTGCAGCAAGAGCTGCTGGGAGAAACTGTTTCTGCAGGTTAGTGGTTACATACTCCCTAGTAGGGAATGTCAAGAGGGGAGAAGAGATATGGAGAAGAGTTGCAGGGGAGGATGTGTGGTTCTGAAGTTTCATACTGTATTTTATAAACAAGTGTTTTTCTCACTTTCTCCCCTCCCTTCCAGAAAACAGGATTCTAGTGTCTCAGCGTACTTTGCTCACTGTAGTAAACAAAACTGCAACTCTAGTTTGCAACTACACATACAATGGAACAGGGAAGGAATTTCGAGCTTCACTGCGCAAAGGAACAGACAGTGCCGTTGAAGTTTGCTCTATTTCATGGAACTTAACCGAAACCATCAGCAGTTCAAATAACGAATTCAACTGTCAGGGGTTTAATGACAAAGACAAAGTCATCTTCAATCTTTGGAACATGAGTGCCAACCAAACTGACATCTACTTCTGCAAAATTGAGGCCATGTATCCACCCCCATATGTCTACAATGAGAAGAGCAATGGGACTGTCATTCATGTGCAAGGTAAGCTGGGAAACCTCCGCAGGGCAGTATCTTCCCTATACACACTCCCTACATAATGGCTTGAGTCAGTTTGTTTCCTTTAAATAAAAAAAAAAGTTGAATTGCCTGGTAAAACTACATTCCCACTCCTAATGTCCTGAAGAAGACATCTTAAAATGATGATTAATACAAATGACACATTGGAACAAGGAGTAAATAAGCAGAGACTGAGGTTTTTACTTTCATGTTCTTAAAGTTTACTTTGCTCTTTCCTTAAAGAGGTACCCATCCAAACACAAGAGCCTCAGTCTGCAATTCCTTTGTGGATTATGGCAACAGTGACTGGAGTTCTTACTTTCTACAGTATGCTAGTAACTGGAGTTTTTATTAACTACTGGGTAAGAAACTACTATTTTCCTTTGCTTTAAATGCTTTTTGTCCCTACTTCAATTCTCAGGCTTTACTTGTCATATTTGCCACTAATTCACTGATACCCCTTCACTTCAGGATGACAATGCTTCTTCACCCCAGCTATAGACCCATGCTACACCTCAAAAGAGCTGAAACACCAGATGCTCTCCAGGTGGGAAGTCAGGCCTCTGCAGTAGAGTCTTAAAGCACCTAGTAATGCCATAGTGCTGGCAATGCCCTGCACACCAGAAATACTGGGACTCTGTCTCTACCTCTGCCAATTGTCCCTGTCAGAGAAATCAAGCATTCCCTTGCAAAACCCTTTGAGAATATACTGACAGGAGTTCACCTACAATAAAACAATCTTTAGGAAGTCCTCAGTTGGCCCAAGTCCATCTGCACTAGGTCTTGTGCCTATCCAGCAATTCCCTTGAGTAACCACTGTTTTTGGCAGCTTGATTGCAAGAGAATAGGAGCATTGGGATCTCAGTAGTCCCTTATCTGCCTCTGTATGTTAATGCTAAGAAAGCTGAGATAGCCTTATGGCTCACTATTTTTGCTTTCTAATCTCTCTGGAGAGTTGGATGGCCCAGGTCACATCCAGTTCTGTCTGCTGGAATAAAGAGAGAGTGAGGTGTGTTGCAGAGGCAGCAGAAGGACATCTTCCTTGACAAGTCTTAGGACTGTGATTTCCAGAGCTGATTTACACTACTTACTCCCTCTGAGAAGTACTTGAACAACTGTAAAGAACACTATTGCTTGCACTCTGGCATTCCCTTGTATCTTTGTCATTAAATAGCAATTTTCAATACATTATGAGGTAGCCTGTACAAAGGGTCCAGAATCCCTGACAGGTTAAATGTTGCACATACACAAAAAGTCACTGCCACTGCTAGCTGATCTGCTAAGTGTTTCACAAAAATACATTTGTTCAATATCTGGCTATTTCTAATGGAAAACAATCAGAGGGGGCATTGTCATAGGAAAACACGAAGGCAGGAGAGCTGAGAGGATTACAGCAAACAGCTGCTGGTGTTACAGCACTATGCTACTCTGGCTATGCCTGATGAGACACTATAGCTTCAAATCCATCATTTACAATCTGAACCATTTTCTCTGTGCTAGATTTATTTGGTACCTAATGGCTACACACTTTGCTACTAACATGTCTGCCCCCAGCAAGAGTGCCAAAACTGCATTGCCATGTGTGCTGTTTGCTGCATCAGTTTTTATCTGCTGTTATTACTGCTGGTGGTATTCCTCAGATATTATGTACTCTGACTGTGGATGTATTTAGAATATTGCTGAATGTAAATACAGCTGCCTAGAAGGTCCTGAATGTGATTGATACTTAAATAACATGACAAGCCTAATCACTTGAGTTCCTGAAAGCAGCTAAGGATTTGTCTGTTTTCATACAGTTCTGCCTTCCCTGTAGGAAAACTGCTTTCCTCTCCAAAAGTAGCAGTCTTTGATCCTGTAACATTCCAACATTCATTCATGCTAACAAAATGTCTTTCTCCCATGCAAAATTCCCTCTTAGGTGAATTAAAAATCCTGTATTATGGAGAGGAACACGTACAGATAAAGCTTTTGTATCTAATGCTTTACATGCATCAACTGCATTACATGGCTTAAGCAGTAACTTACATTCAACACTTTGCATACATGTAGCATTAGTATAAAAAAAACTTAAAATATTTAATTGTAACTGTCCCACTCTGCATGTACAACATAATTCAGCCATCATATTTCCTAATGCAAACCTCCTCCAGTTCCACAGCATCACAGGCATACTGCAGCATATGCAACTATTTTTGTACATAGGAAGAAAATTTCAGTAACAAGGAGATTGCAAAAGAGGGTATGAGGAAGTATTAAGGAAAAAGCATGGAAGCACTTTACCTACCTCTGATCAACAGTCTTAAGCTATGTAAAAAAACACCAACCCTGTGCACAGCCTGCAGCAGTCACAGGCTGAAATGCTGCTGTAGCCACAAACTTCCTCTGTGATTTTAGGCAAATTATTTCACCTGTCTTCTGCTACTTTTGTTTCTGGAAGAGCCAATGCTTTCCTTGTCTCCCACGGGCATTATAAGCAGGAATTCAACAGTGAAAACGAGATTTTTGAGGCCCAGATAAGGAGACAGATAGAAGATCAAAATCAGCTCTGATTCTTTTGCCCCTTGAAGGGAGTTTCAAAACAACATATGCATTGTGTGCTACTGCTGTGAATGGTAGGCCTAGCATGATTTTTCCTGCTCTTATTCTGAGTTAAGCTGATTTCTTTTTGCCTCCTAATAAATGAGGACAGCCTTCACTGCTCAGACTGTATTGTTTCTGCTGAATCATTCCACAGATGAGAAGTGATGGTGAGAGGCATCAGTTTGTATCCTTGATTTGTAGCATTCCTTTACCTGGAGAACTAACACTGTAACTCTCTCAGCAGATAAACTGGAGACTTATGTTCAGGTTGGGCAAATTCTATAGATTATTTTATAAGCATATGTGTTCTAATGATTTTGTGAATGCATTTAAACCTGAAGCTGCCTTATAAATATTCCTTCTTCTCTGAACGAGGACATAAGGCCAGAACTGTCAGCAGTTCATGTAACAGTTTTCACAATTCTCTTCACCCTTCTCCCACAGCAAAAATCCAAAAAGAATGTGTATCATCAGAGTGACTACATGAACATGACTCCACGGCATCCACCATACCAGAAGAACAAGGGTTACCCATCCTATGCACCAACACGAGACTACACGGCCTATCGGTCCTGGCAGCCCTGACACCCACCAGCTGACCCAACAGTAGCCTTGGGTGCTGCCAGGTGTCCACTTGCCCTTGGACATGGAAGGACAGCCTCTCATTTTCTTATCGTGTTTGTCACTATTGATCATGGATACCAACACCACAGCAAGTATTGGCTAAATTTGATAAAATATACTCAAAAAAACAAAACCAACCAACAAACCAACAACACCTCCCCAACAACAACAACAAAAAAAACAACATAAAAGGGGAGATGGGGGCTGAAAATGAGATCTGATTTGTGTTGAGGGTTGTCGGTGGGTAAGATGGAAAGATGGCATCAGCTGGTCTCTCCCTAACACTTGTGGTTTTGCTCAGCTGTGAGAGAAGCAGAACTGATCTCTTCCACTAACTGCTGCCTTAGTTTTAACCCTTAATTTCCTCTCCTGTATGTCTAATCCTCAGAAGCCCTGGTTGCCATTATACCTGGCAAAATGTAAAAGAAAAAAGAAATCTTCTCTATAAGACTGGGACACAGTTTGAAGTTCAAAACATATGCTTGAAAGAAAGAGGCAAAGGTCAGTCAGAAGGCGTCCAAGCTACTAGGCTACAGTACAAATGATCTACCAAGACAAATCAAGCTGATAGAAAACTAGTAAACCTTCAACACGTGAGTCTTTGACACTTTGTAGATGTTCATAAGGTCATCTGCAGTCATGACCAAGCAACTCCACAGAGTGAGAAAGCAATAAACCTGAAGACAAAATCAAGACAAGCAGGAGAGGAAGAAAGATCTGTCTTCATTATGAAGAAATCCATTTCTGTTTTGTTTGTCTTCTACAGCAAAGGAACTCAAAGTCATACGTGAAGGGTTAGAAGTCACAGAGGCCAGATTCTGAGAAGATCTTTACTTTCATATTTTAATTATTGTTTCTATTCTGCTGAATCCTCTTGAAAATTCATGAACATCTTCTGGCACCTAGGTTGTACCAGAGCTCTTTCAAAAATCTGGGTCCACTTATGAGCAACTAAAGATCACTTGAATTTTTTTTACCATAAGCACACAATTTTTGGGGTGCTAGAGGGTTCTTCATTCTCACCATTGTGAATTGGACCTGCAAGTGCTCAGCCACCTATAGGGACTGCTCTGGGCACTTCGAGGAGCCTTGTGTTATCTGGAGATTACCTTTCTGTCTAAAGATGTTCTTCAGGACTGCTCCATGCTGGTGTAGGACAAAGTCTTCAGCAAAATCTGATTAACTCTTTCAATTAAGCATGTTTACAATAACAGGACATCCTAAATTGTAATTGGCATAAAATCCCTTTCCATACTGTAGAGACAAGGTGTATTTTATGGAGAATACTGAATTAAAAATTAAAAGAAAAAAACCCCACTTTCCCACTTTGAAATAAAATTGGAATTGTACAACATTTAATTTCCTCCAAATTGGGATAAGAAAATTCTTTCTCTCTTTGAGGGGACAGGACAAAAGTAGACATGTGGAAGTATAGCAACAACCTGCTTTTGTGTCTTAACCCAAGAAAAAACTTTGGCACTTCCAAATTGGAAGTTTTATTTGAGTTCGCTGACTGGGCCTCAAACCTTTCATTTTGAGTCCTATCAGCACAAACCATGCTCCTGGAGGGTGCTGTGTCACCTCTAAGCAGTGGTGAGATGCCTGCTGCCCCCCCAGGTCCAGGCATAGATCCCCCAATGGCAATGGCAAGTGAGACCCAAGGGGCAGTCATGGACCCAGCAGGTCCTGAGAGCTTTGCTCTGGTCAGTTCAGCCAACCCAAAAGCTTATGACTGGGCTGAAGTACTTCAAAGTCTTACTTGCTTCTCCTTCTTTCCCTTCACCAGATGCACAAACAACCCAAGGCTGACATTCTTCCACATACAATTTTTACTCTTTATTCCTAAAAAGCCTCTCACCGCACCTTTGTACTGCAGCTGAGGCAGCAAGGAGCACGTGCAGGGGACATGGCCCCAGCCTGGCCTTCCTTGCTGTCACTGACTGGAATGCTATTGCCATGCCACCTCCCTCCTCTCTTGGAGGGGAGATATGAATGATCCTGTTCTGGTGCATCCAGACACTCCTGTTGAGAGCAGCAGGCTGAGCACAGTTCTCCATCAGGGTTTGGCACAGTCTTGCCATGCTCCAGTGTTGTCATTGCATAGCACATCATTAACAAGTGCTCTGATTACGATGCGCTGTGAAAAATCACATCTTCTAATGCAAATATAAGGTGAGATGGCAAATGTGTATCAAAAGCATAAACCAGGCTAAATGTTCTTTGTTTAATCTGCATATATATATTTTTAGATAGAGAAGTATCTATTCAATTATATCTATAGCCCTTAGAGATTTATTATGCTTTTTGCAATCTCATTTAAAAGTATTAAATACATACAGTAAATTAAATCCTGAATAAATGTATTAGGCCTGAGGCTAGTCAGAGGAAAGTATTATTTTCTAAAGCAAATGTTGGTATAATTTGCTTTCCTCCCCCTAACACTTTTGTACTTTCCATATTTAAAACATACTGATAGCTCCCAGGGTGTGATACTGGAAAGTAAGTCCTGGAACATCTGGAACTAGTATTAATTCATTTGACTAACCAAAAAGAAAGGGACATACAGGGAAACTTTTAAACATAAAATGAAAAAAAACAAGGACAACCAGGAGAGGGGAACGCCCAGCACTGTGTCAAAATGGACATTGCCATTATATTAAAGCTCTGTAGGGACATGAATTACAGACTGTTGGAGATAGGATACCAGTAAATACCTTTTATCCATCACTGTCAGGGACTAAAATAAAGCATTTGCAGAGAAGCAAGTCAGTTAAGCCTGGAGTCTGGCTCTGCATATGAGGATTAGCATATTCAACAAACAGCAATCCTAATTTATTCCATCTGGTTTTAAGCAAAGCATAACATGCAAAGACAGTCCTGGCCCTCCTTGGCTCTGTCTTTGGGGTCTATATGCTGTTTATGGGATGATGTAAAGAGAAATTTTCCTCTGCTGCTGCTCTGAACTGGCCCGCATGGAGGGCAGTGATATATCAATAGGGTTTTGTGCCTTGCACACAGGTTTTAATGCAAGAATAATCCTGTTGAAGAGTGATTTAATTTTTCATCCTCCTTTTCCCCACTTTTGGATCTCAGTGTCAAATGAACATCTGATCTGCAGTCATCATATCTGAATAGCAATCAACATATGTTGCAAAGGGTCAACTAAGGGTTGTGCAGCTCCAGTCCCCTGCATGCTGCTTCCTGTTCTGCTCATCTCCAGCACAGCACAAAACAAGAGCCTGCCTCTTCTGCACTTCCAGGAACCAAGCCCCTGGAAGACAAATGCCGAGAAGTAGCCTGTGTTATCTTTGCAGTGTCTTGAACCTTCCCTGCTGGGGTTGTCAGGTTTAACTAAAGCCAAAAGTTTTGGATGTTCCTTCTAGTTTGAATCCCATAAATTCCAATATCATTCTTCTGCATCAGATTTTCTTCAAAATGCCTCTTCTATCTTCTGCAGCTATAAACGTGAACCTTGCATGTCTGCCAAACAATACCACATCTTTCTTCTTTGCATTTCATCTGTTTTCCTTTTGTTTCTATGCCAGACTCAGGAGTTCAGGGATCCATCCTATTTGTTAATCTCTAACATTACCGTGCGGCCTTCCACATGTAGCTCTGACCAGTTATTTGCTTCACAAAGACTGTCCTGTATGCCACATTCCTCCTCAGTTTGGGATAAGGAGTTGCCATAGAAGATTGAAGCCATGAGGTGGTTGGATAGGTACTTGGTTTCTGTTTGAAGGATTTGGGGTCTTTCATTCCTTTGATTTTTCCCATCATCTTCAGATTTTCAGGTTGTGCCAAACAACCACGTGCGAATCCCACACACCACCTACTTCCCACCGTGCATTTAATTTCTGTACATTTCATTTCCTGTGCATAGCAGGCTTTTGGGCATTGCCAAGTTCATTATGCCTGCAGACATGCCCTGACAGCAGTAGCAACTTTGGCTACTGATGGCAGATACTAATAAAACACATGGTACAAAAAGAGAGTTTTAGGAGCACACAGGCAAAGGCTTCAGTGCTAAAGATCAAATGTTTCCACTTTCAGCAAGGCTTTTGCTGTGTGACTGGAAAATGTAGTATGCAAGATGAATCACAGACCAAGACATAATTTTGTTATTCACTCATACTAACCAGAAAACAGGTTAGGGTGATGAGTACAGCAACAGCTTTGTCCTGTAAAGACTTGGAAAAGCTGAAAACAGCACTAGGCAGTAATTTGTAGGCAAAGTCAATGTCTTTAAGTGGCTGTGAGAGGGAAACATTACTACCTTCTTATCTTGATGCAAATAGGTTGTTCTTCACAATTAGGTGCTTTTGTTAGAGCATCACATTACAGTATGTTACTATTCCAGCCTCAAGGGCATGCAGAGAGTCTGATGTGGCCAATTTGGCTGACAAAGTATTAGGAGTCTGCCAATTTCATACAAACCCATTTGCAAAGAAAAAAAGTTGAATGGTCTCAAATTCCTAGTGTTTTGTTTGTTTGTTTGTATCCTTGTGGGTGTTTTTTGTTTGTTTAGTTGTGTTTTGGGTTTTTTTTTTTTTTTGTTTTGTGGGGTTTTTTGTGTTGGTTTTGTGGGGTATTTTTGTTGTTTGTTTGTAGTTTTTTTTTACTCCAGGATCAAGGCACCGGTTCTTACTTTTTCTTCTCCTTTTCAAAATAAAAATGAAACTTTATTTTCAGGTCCCATAGACTTACCAGTAGCATTTCAGTTTTGGGGAGCTGGCTCCATCTCATTCATCTGACCACTGATATTATAAGGCATTTTCAAATGCCACAGTTTTCCTAGCCATTACATCATTATGTAGCCACATCATTCCTTTTCCTCACTGGCTTTTAATTCCTTCAAGGAAACTATTCTGAATCAGGTTGAAATGTTCTTATGGACTGGAACAACTCTGGTCTTTCAGACAGGAAAGATTACTACCTAACCAGCAAAATCAAAGATGCAA